TGTTATCAAGATTTGGAAAGGGAGGGTTTTGACATCAATCAATATGATGGATCAAACCATGACATCTTAAAAATGGTTGGATTTGAGTTTTTCGAAGAGATAGTTATGAGGTGATAACTAGAGAATGGAGTTTTGATTGAGAGAAGGGGAAAGAGACACGATTGAAGAGGAAGAGAAATATATTAAGGTGACGACACCCTCATTTTTAGGATCGTCAAACATGATAGGAGGCTATTGAGCATTGTAGCTTTGATACTATGAAAATTCGGTATTTTCTCTTATCTTCTTACATCAACGATTATAAGTTATATACAAGTATAATTAGGTTATAATAGTACAACATAAAATCAATCAAGTTCTTAGTAAGGATTTATAAGATTAAGGAGATAAAATAGGCAAGAGAACATTGACTAATATCCTTTCCTTATCACAATGTTGGACGGATCTTTTCAACAAGGTTTATTGAGGTACTAAATGAGATCCATTTACCAACTCGTTTTGCTTTTTGATGTTGTGTTCAAATGTTAGTTTGAATAACATCATCTATAAATAGAACTTTAACTTAATATTGCTCTATGAATGTATACTTATTGTTTATTCCCTAGGACACACACATGCACACATACACATGCGAAACACAAATCAATAATGTGCTTACGGGAGAAAAATAGCATTGTACTCCCGCTCAAGGCATATCACACATAGATCCGTAATTGGACGTTCACCATCCGAACAATTCTCGGCCATTCCATTTGAACCTAAAAAACAATTACAACAATTGATATCACATACAAACTACTTTTCCTTCAAAAATTGCAATTATAAGAAATTTACCTAGGCTCGATCTCCTAGTAGCAGACAGCAAGAACCCTATAAAAACAAAGATTTTTAGCTCTATGCGTCACAATCAAAAGGAGAAGTCCGTATGCTAATTCATTCTTAGTATGTTTAAAATATAATATGAATCGGACGATACATATATCACCCCATGCACCATTCGGGCTATAATTTTGGTAAGTCGTGGGACAAACTCTCTATTTGGAATAAATATTTAGACAACTAAGTACGTCCATTCCTTTAAAACATTTTGTCAAGGAAGCCTTCCACCAAGGAAACATACCTGCTATGTAATTCGCAACGACGCCTTCTCTCCATGATATACTCGTATAACATGCTTGGCAATCGGAAAGCACCAAAAGCTCGTCAAACCCATTGAAGCATACTTATACCACTCGATACAAAAATATAAGTTTTTTTTTCAATGTTTTAATGCATAATTAATGTAAATGAAAAAAGATGAAGCACTATGTTTAGTTAAGTGTGTTTAGGCTAATATATAATAGCCTACCTTGCCCACTTTCCTAAATTTCCAATGAGTTCATCAATACTCTTGGGGACACATAAAAAGGTCCTTTATAAGGACGCCGAATCCGAACCGTTCCAATATCATCTTTGACGACCTAATCATAAATTTAAGAGTAAAAAAGCTGGAGGACAACAAACTAAAGAGATAGTTAGATATATATGACAAACATGTTTGATTTTCAAATCCGAGCATTCAAACACTTCAAAACTATAAGGAATGTTTTCAAATCTAGCATTTAGACATTCCAAAACTATGAATAAAGAGTATTTTCAATATAGTTGGCCATAAAAAATCCACATTCACATAATAAACGTTGAACTTCAACATTGATGAATATTGTTAAAACATAAACATAAAAAGAAAAAAATAAGGTTTAACGTGGTTCGATCATGAAGACCTACACCCACGGAAGGAAGGTATGAGCTTATTTTTTTATTTCGTCACCCACCAAAATACAACGACAGCAGAGTTCCTTTTATATGAGCCATATACACCGGAATAGAAAGCCAAAATTATAAGAAAATTAGAACAGAAAATCAAGGTCATATTTCTTACTAATTTTCTATTATTGCAATCACCAATACAATCATTAGTTTCTTTCTAAATAGGAAGATTTGTTCCTCCTAAATTGGAAGCATATTTCTTACAATTGCCAATATAGAAGCTAAATTTCCAATAATTCTAAAATTCACCAAGAATAAGCATAGAGGATAGCCTCACTTATTGCCTTGGATCTTACTTAGTAAAATCTAGCATTGTTTAGTGTTCTTCATGTCTTTACATACCGAACAAAATGATCGTATTGAAAGAAAGCACAAACACGTAATCGAAACTAGCAGAGCATTGCTTCATCATGCATCAATCCCCTTACACTTTTGGGATCATGCCTATTCTATTACCGTTTAATGTCAATTGTCTTCCTACCTCCTTACTTAACTATAAATCTTCTTATGAATTTATTTTATAGGAAGTTCCAAATTATGATTATTTATGTGTTTTTGGTTGCCTCTGCTATTATTGGCTATATCCATATGCCAAGAATAAATTAAAGCCTCGTTCCCTTTATTGTGTTTTTCTTGGCTATAATCTGTTAGATAAAGGGTGTAAGTGTTTAGATATTACATCTAATAAAATCTATATCTCACGCCATATTATTTTCGATGAACAAGTTTTCCCATTCAAGGATGTTAATGAAGGTGTGAACTTTGTTGTCAAAAATCCAATCATAACACCGCATACCACATCAAATTCCCCAAACTTATCCGTATGGTCTTCTTCTCCTAAAGGACTTACTTTTCTCTCTCTTTCGCTTCCTTCAACCATTATCTAGTAAACATGTGCTCGACTTAGTTCTACACCAACCAGTCCAACCTACTACCGAGTTCAGCTCCAAGTTCCACTTCCAAACTAACTTCATAAGCTACCACTCCACCCAACCCGCTAATAATCTAGCTCTAATTTTCACTTCCAAACCGACCTCATGGGTTTCTCCCATAATGAACCCATCAACCCTACAAGTTCGCACTCATAAACCCTTAAACCCACACATATAGGTCACAATTCCCTTTAGCTACTTTCTCTTTCTTCAAAATCACATTCATCTTCATCTCTTACTTGTTCCATTCTAACCTACCACAAATCACCCTCTTTAGCTACGAGGTTGATTACATCACCAATCCGTTACCGGATCTAATTATGCACCGACAAGAACCACCTTCTCCCTCTCACCTCATGCTAACTCCGCACCAAAATAAAGCACACTAAGCCCAAAACCTTCCTCGACTCAATTCCCACTACTCGAACCCACTTTTTTTTGTAATGGTTAAAGTCTATAGCGACAAGCTATGCATGAGAAAATTGATGTTCTCTTACCAATGACATATGGGATTTAGTGCCCTATTCCCAAGCTCCCAAGCATCATTGGTCGTAAATGGATATACCGAATCAAGTTGATCGCCCGACGGTTTTATTGATTGTTACAAAGCTCATTTAGTGGCTAAAGGCTACCATCAACTCCTAGCCTTGATTATGCTAACACATTTAGTCCAATGGTGAAGCCCAACAACATCCATCTCATCCTATCCTTGACGAGTCACTCATAATTGGCATGCTCGAGTAATTGGATATCTCAAATGCCTTTTTACGTAAGCTGGTTGAATACTCTAGTATACATGAAGTATTTACAAGGTTTCATTCACCTACATCAACCTGGACCATGTTTGTGCTCTTAAATGGTCTCTTTATGGATTTAAACGGGCACCTAGAATGTGGTATACAAGCCTCATCTCTCGCACTCTATCGACTGGGATTTATTGGTTCTAAAATAGATACTTCTCTTGTGCTCTATTGTCATAGCACATATACTATTTATTATCTCATCTATGTTGATGATCTCTTTTTTACTTGGAAATAATCGGGAGCTTAATAAGAGGATTATCTCGATTCTTCAACAATAATTCCCTATTAAGGCTTTTGGTTCTATGTATTATTTTCTTAGCATAGAGGTGATTAGAAGCATATAAGGATTACACCTTTCCAATCACAAGTACATTCGGGACCTTCTAAAATGAGAAAATATGCATGATGTTGCTATAGTGGCCACACCGGGTAGTTTTCGTCCAACTAATCGAGCCACCATTGCTTTTGACAATCCAACCTTATTTCGGAGTGTTATTGGTGGGCTTCAATATCTTACACTCATGAGACCAAATGTCTCATTTGCCATCAATTGTGCTTATTCGGTTTATGCACGCTCCAACGATAGAGCAATGAATCTCAATTAAACGCATTCTTCGTTATCCGAGAGGCACTCCAACTCACGGACTCTTACACCCTCATCTTCTCACCACATCTCGGTGTACACCGATACCGATTAGTGAGGGGATATCATTGATAGAAAAAATACCACGAGTTTTGTAATTTTTCTTGGTAGTAATCTTATCTTCAAGACATCTCGCAAACGTGAAAACTATAGCCCATTCGTCTACCGATGCGAGTATCGAGCCTTAACAACAACATCATTAGAAGTGACTAGGCTTCAAACAATTTTGTGTGCAATCGGATTTCCATTGGCAAAAGCTCCGATACTTTTGGTGTGATAATATTTTAGCAACCAACCTTACAACTAATCCAAGTGTTTCATGCCCGTTCAAAACGAGTTGAAAATTGATTTTCACTTTATCTAGGACAAAGTCAGCAAATAGGAATTCCTTGTGCGCTGCATTTCTACCGAATATCACTTAAGCGATAGTATAATAAATTTTTTATCAAAACGCAAATATCTTCACTAAGTTAACAACTTGATCGTTCTTCTTGTAGCTCAGCTTGAAGGAGGATGATAAGGTAACAAGTTGATAATATATATGCAACTATAAGAGTTAAATATTGTATATATTTTAGCAATTTGTTATAACACAAACTTTATCTCTGAAACTTATTAAACTTATTATAACTGTAACTCTATATCTTAAACTATATTTAAAAAGTTTACTGCAGTAGAAAGATAACGTGTGAAAATTCTTATAATCAATTCTTAGTTTATACGGTATTATCTTCGCAACCTTGATCGTTTTCACACTACATTCTGCATGCTGTTGTAAATATTTGACACCACTATGGCACAGGTGTAAATAATTTAGTTACCGAGCAATGGTACCTCGCCAACCACAGTCAATGAAGTACCAGTTGGAAGTACCCTTTCAATTCGCTTAACTCCAAGCGTCTGAAATAAAAAATCACAATAAAACAAACTTTACCCAACAGTACATGTGCTATTGCACAAATGGAAAAACATAGAACAGGGCAGACCTTGAGGCCTCGGAGATAGTCTAATGTTCCTTTTACAAGTGATCTTCCCGACTCTTCAAACACTTCGCTTACAACAGTCAACACAAAACCGGAAGCACCTCGGGCCCCCAAAACATAAACTCGGTCGGTGCCATCATCCTAATCAATGAAAATTCAACAGTGTAAATGGATTTTTTCTATCGATGACACTCCAGATAAAATTTATTCCAACATTAACGCTGTCATCTTGTTTCCAGAATCAACAATATAGTTTAACAATTGCGCTCGAGAGCGGTAGAGAGGCACAAGCAACTGTCTCTTACCAGATACCATGGGACCTCTTTACTCATCGATGGCATCATTGTGCTTAAGAAAATGATGTTCGGCCTGAAGATGATAATACAAACAAGAACATTCAAAAAACCAAAAAAAAAAAAAATCTCAGTTGAGGTGTTATGCCCTTTCAAACAATGATAATTTAACATTACCGTCTCCTCTACTATAACACCTCTCAAACCCCTAAATCCGCAACTTATAGGAGCCTCAGCGCCAACCAACTCTTCCAGAGATTGCAACAACCGGTGGTAAGATTGCAACAACCGGTGGTAAGAATTTACTTTCAATATCCAGTAATTCTGCTGAAAGATGAAAGATAACAGAAACCCATCATTCGGGAAAAGCGTTGTTGCTGATGAAAATGGGCATTCATTGAACATTCTAAAATAATTAAGAAGACAGTGAAAACCAAAATTTAATCAGCTTGCGCTTAAAAATGAAAGTTAGGGGCGCATATGAGATACCCAGTTCCTTCAACTGGTTGACTTTTGCAACTGACTTCAGAGCGTCTGCATCCCTGTAAGCACGCACAGAATTATTAACAAAATATAATGAAGGAAAAGATGAAACAACGGGGGAAGGGAGCTACCTGCCACTGCTCCTGGCAAGCAAATAAAAAGCAGCTGCGCCCAAACAGCAACTGATTCCACCCCATGGGATCATCATCTTCAACCTTTTCTCTGGAAGAAAAACTCTAAGTAACTAAATCGTTTCCGTATCAGGGCAGAATTAAACGGAGGTAATGCGAGAATTGGTAGAAGATTAATAGGATTAGGTGGACAATAAAGAGAATCAGATGCGAGGAGTGGAATCTTATAAGCAAAGTGACTTTTTTAAAATTTTCAAAATGATGTGACGGTGAGGGATCATATTCCCCTCTTTTTTATAAAGTTAGAATCTGACTGGCAATGCTTGTAAGTCTGGAGGTTTGGGACTTTCTAGCTGTTCCACACATTCGGATAATGATGCTGCAGTTTGAAAAGCAAAAAGTAATTAAGGCATTAGATTAAGCTTGATGCCACTTTGCTTAACTTCGCTTGCAAGTTCAGGATTGCTACAATGCTGATGCTTTGAGCACCAGTACAATGTTTATCGTTCAATGGCAATTAGATTTGAATTCAGTGGATCCTTTATTATGATTTTATTCAATCTAATGATCTAAATGATCATAAACATTATGCCAATACTTGGCGTCAACATTCTAAACCTTTTTGAAATTTTACGGTTTATTATAAAAACCCATAATTTTTTATCAGGTGCAACTTTTCAAGTCGGTTTACATTATATTAAATTTGTATTAATATTTATCGCTATAACAACTAATAAATTAATATATTCATTGTCATATTGACACATTTATAGAGATTAATAACTTGTTTATTAATTGTTATGTCAATATATCTGTTAACGTAATAGAAGCAGTAGACATATTGAATTGCCGATTCCCACACCAACCTATTGATATAGACCTGCTAATATATCGAGCAACAACGCTACTGGGAGGCGCCAAAAGTAGTAATAAAGTGTAATATTTTTAGGTGAAGTCTCATCACTTGAAGGAATACGCTCCCTAGGCTACATAAGAAACTCAAGGTACCTATTTGCTTAAAAGGAACATGTCTGGGTTGGTTCAACGTGTTTCATGAATGTTGGTTCCTGTTCCATTCAGTAAAAAGGCATTTTGCTATCACTTCTGATTCTATTCTCAAACTAGCTAGTCCACCTCCATCAGTATGATTCGCATTTCTTTTGAAGGTCATCTCATCTCACCTTCTGTATATCTCTTGTAGCTGATCAGCATCGTTTTGAATGAATTCTGCAACAGAGATAGGTTAAGAAAGACAAAAAAAAAAAAAAAAACAGGGCCTTGGTTTTTCTATTTCACAAATAAAATCCTTTCTTTGTACACTCGTTCTCCAATCCATGTTTGGGGATTATTGAAGGAGTCCCTAATCGGCTAATCCTGTAGTGTGGCAGACTTTTAGGCAACCCCAATGGAGAATTGGATTTTTGTATTTTGGACTAGAAGCTTACCGTCAGTGTTTTCGGATCAGATGCTTACAATGATAGAAACATATTGCTATCTAGTTATTAGCACAAGTCGACGTAAAGATGGCAGGAGCAATGACGACAAATTGAGACATTTATTCAATATTTGAGACCTGGAGATAGCAAGGAGAAATAATACACATAACTGGCCAAGAATCACATCAGATTACAAAGGAAGTCAGGATCTTAATTAATCATCTTCCTAGAAGAGATTTTGTCTGACATAACCCAACGACCAGTTATCTTGAAAATTTCTCCAGAGGATAAAAGAGAACATATTTCTAAACATTTACATGTACATAGACAGCTGCAGGACACGATTTGGATGGCAAGGAATATACAAATACAAGGCATTGCTGTGAAGAAGAGGATCTACACCTTCAAAATCTTTGCATGAGCAGAGAATTTACTTTCCAAGTCCCAATCATGCAAGCATCCCCATCCAGTATACGTGCTATTAATCTTGGAAGGAAATCTTCAATGGCGGAAAGTCTTCACTACCTGCTCTATCCGTCTTCGGCAAAGAGGACAGTTGCTCAAATGCGAGCAGCATGTTGTACAACAACACATATGACCACACCTACAGATCATAATGAATTTGGAAGTCAATCACGTTGAAATTAATATATATATATATATATATATATATATATATATATATATATTGATGCCTAGACAACGAAAAAAGTATGCCCCTTGTTTGTTCCCCTTTCCGTGCATCCCAAGGCACAACAAAAAGCAAGCTTGTAAATAAGGAAGAGCCTTTTATTTTGTTAAAAATAATGCAATACATATTATACTCTTTACAAAATTACCAGACTAGGGATCTTAAATACAATGTTGGACAGATCTTTTCAACAAGGTTGATTGAGGTGCTAGATGAGATCGATTCACCTACTGGTTTTGCTTTTTGATTTTGGGTTCAAATGTTAGTTTGAACGACGACATCTATACGTGGAACTTTTTAGTATTGCCCTATGTATGCATGCTCATTGTTTATTCCCTGAGATGCACGTGCACACACATGAAGACACACAAATCAATAATATACTTACGGGAGAAAAACAGCATTGTATTCCTGCTCAAGGCATATCACACATAGATCTGGAATTGGACGTTCTCTCTTGGCACCATCTGAACCATTCTCAGCCTTTCCATTCGAACCTGAAAAACAATTGCAACAATTGATATCACATACAAATTACTTTTCCTTCAAAAATTGCCATTATGAGAAACTTACCCTCGTTATCTTGGCCCGATCTCTTAGCAGCAGCAGCAAGAACCCTGCAAGAACAAAGCTTTTCAGCTCCATTTGTCACAATCAGAAGGAGAAGTCCATATGCTAATTCCTTCTAAGTATGTTAAATATATAATATGAATCAGACAGTACATATATCATCCTGTGCACCATCCAGGCTAGAATCTTGGCAAGCAATCGGACAAACTTTCTATTTGGAATAAATATTCAGACAACTAGTACGTCCCTTCCCTTAAAACATTTTGTCAAGGATGCCTTCCACTAAAGAAACATACCTGCTCTGCAATTCCCAACGACGCCTTCTCTCCATGATATACTGTATAACATGCTTGGCAATCAGGAAAGCACCAAAAGCTGTCAAACCCAACGAGGCGTACTTATACCACCTGGTAAAGAAATATAAGTTTTTTTTTTCAATGTTTTAATGCATAATTAATGTAAATGGAAAAAGATGAAGCACTATGTGCAGTTAAAGAGTGTTTAGGCTAGTATATAATAGGCAACCTTGCCCACTTCCCCAAATTTCCAATGAGTTCATCAATACTCTTGGGAGACACATAAAAAGGTCCTTTATGAGGACGCTGAATCCGAACTGTTCCAATATCATCTTTGACAGCCTGATCATAAATTTAAGAGTCAAAAAATTAGAGGACAACAAACTAAAGAGATATGTTAGATATATATGACAAACATGACTGATTTTCAATTCCAGCATTCAAACACTTCAAAACTATAAGAAAAAAATATTTTCAAATCCAGCATTCAGACACTTCAAAACTATGAGTAAAGAGTATTTTCAATACAGTAGGCCATCAAAAATCAACATTCACATAATAAACATTGAACCTCAGCATTGATGAATATTGCCAACATAGAAGCTAAATTTCCAGCAATTCTAATATTCACCAGCAACAAGCATAGAGGACAACCTCATGATTAATTGTATCTGATGTATTATCTTTGATGCCTTAATCGTTTTCACACTACCTACCGCATGCTGTTGTAAATATTTGACACAACTAATGACACAGGTGTGAATAATTTAGTTACCAAGCAATCGTACCTCGCCAACCACAGTCAATGAAGTACCAGTTGGCAGTACCCTTTCAATTCGCTTAACTCCAAGCATCTGAAATAAAAATCACAATAAAACAAACTTTACCCAAAGGTAAATGTGCTGTTGCAAAAATGGAAAAACACAGAACAGGGCAGACCTTGAGGCCTTGGAGATAGTCTAATGTTCCTCTTACAAGTGATCTTCCCGACTCTTCGAACACTTCACTTCCAACAGTCAACACAAAACCGGAAGCACCTCGGGCCCCCACAACATAAACTCGGTCAGTGCCATCATCCTAATAAATGAAAATTCAAAACAGTGTATAAATGGATTTTCTCTATCAATGACACTCCAGATAAAATTTATTCCAACATTAAAGCTGCCATCTTGTTTCCAGAATCAACAATATAGTTAAACAATTGCATTCGAGAGCAGAAGAGAGGCACAAGCAATTGTCTCTTACCAGGTACCATGGGACCTCTTTACTCATCGATAGCATTAAGGCTGAATCCTGAATCCAAGATCCAGCATCATTGTGCTTAAGGAAATGTTGTTCGGCCTGAAGATAATCATACAAACAAGAACATTCAAAAAACCAAAAAAAAAATCTCAATTGATGTGTTATGCCCTTTCAAACAATGATAATTTAACATTACCGTCTCCTCTACTATAACACCTCTCAAACCACTAAACTCGCAACTTATAGGAGCCTCAGCGCCAACTCTTCCAGAGATTGCAACAACCAGGGGTAAGAATTTACTTTCAATATCCAGTAATTTTGCTGAAAGATGAAAGATTACATAAACCCATCATTCAGGAAAAGCATTGTTGCAGACGCAAATGGGCATTCATTAAACATTCTAAAATAATTAAGAAAGTGAAAATCAAAATTTAATCAGCTTGGGCTTAAAATGAAAGTTAGGAGCGCAGAAGGGATACCCAATTCCTTCAACTGATTCACTTTTGCAACTGACTTAAGAGCGTCTGCATCCCTATAAGCACGCACGCACGCACAGAATTATTAACAAAATATAATGAAGGAAACGATGAAACAAGGGGGGAGGGAGCTACCTGCCACTGCTCCTGCCAAGCAAATAAAGAGCAGCTGCGCTCAAACAGCAACTGATTCCACCCCATGGGATCATCATCTTCAATCTTTTCTCTGGAAGAAAAACCCTAAGTAACTAAATCATTTCCGTATCAGGGCAAAAGTAAACGGAGGTAATGCGAGAATTGGTCGAAGATTAATAGGCGGACAAAAAAGAGAATCAGATGCGAAGAGTGAATGAGAGGGACAAGGAAGAGATTTTAACAGTTTTTTCCCCCTCTTCTTTTAGTTTTGGCAGTGTCTTTCTTCCCGATATCCAACTTAATGATCTTAGCACCCGTAAATATGTGGGTAAGAAAATTACATAACTTTCACGTACATAATCATTTAATTTCATGGCCAAAAAATACTAAAGGTTAACGAAATAATTTTTTACCAATAGAATTCTATTTAATGCTAGAGAGTTACGTGTACTTGCAAAAAATACGAATTAAGCTTAAAAAAGCCTAATGACAAAAAGCGGCAAAAACAACTTTTCATTTTTTTGGTTGAAACTAATTTAATTCATCATAGTAATATAACTTTCATTTTTTTTCCTACCATCTACTAACTACTAGCTACTAACCACATACCACTAATGCTAACTTTTTGGTTGTCTAACTATTTATTATGAAGTAAATTATAAATTAATCTCTTTTGTTTAAAAAAATTAATTAATTATTAATTTTTAGTTTCAAAAATTAATTATTTAATCAATTTAATCAATATTGATTGCGATTAATTCAATATTTTTTATTTTATAAAATATTTTCTTTTCTCATCAATTTTTATATATATATTAAAATAAAAAATAACAAAAAAAATTAAATAATTAATTTTTTAATTCAGAAAAACTAATTAATTTGTTTTTTCAAAGCAAGAGAAATTGATTCGTAATTTACTCATTTGTTATGGACTGGAGAGTCTTATTTATGAAAGAGAAAAAAAAACAAATTTTTGACGTGTAGATTTAATTGCAAAAACATTTTAACATAAGTATAACATGTTTTTTCTATAAAAAAAAAAATGAGGATAAAAAATTTTCAACAAGGATCGAGTACTTAGGGAATATTTGATAATCTATTTAAGTAACTTAATAATTAACCCGGTTAGTTTCTCTGTCTTAATTTATTGAAAGTTCATGCGAGTTACATTTTTTTTTCAATTTGAAAACACGAGTTTTGTATTCGTACATGTAAGAAAAAAAGCCTCAAAACACTCGTTCTTTTCTATATATATATATATATATATATATATATATATATATATATAGCGATGAACAATCTAGCATGTCGTGCTTTAGTTTTATGTACGAGTTTAATATCCTTTCCTAGATTTTAAATTCAAACCAAAACACATTGATTTTTTTCATCTCGGCTCATTGTCCTCGACACTAGAAGGAGCACTTCTTTTATCCACCTAAATGCCTTCTTTGGCATTGATTACAAACCAAACACCAATAGAATGCATACATTAATTATTTAAATTAGGCAACGGATCCGAGTGAAGAAAGGAATAGATACTTAAACACAAACCATTTTAAGCTCGTTGTCACCATCCTCCAGAGCTTTCTTCTTGTGGCTTTCTCGACAAAAAATTCTTCTTCTTGGTTCGATTTTTTGAAGGGTTTGACAAATTCAAAAACAAGTAAAAAATGAAACCAATGATAAGGGCGGAAGGAAGTTTTACGGCCTATTATACCTCCTCCTTTTTCCTCGCTTCGATTATACACGTTGCGCAAATTCAATTAAGACAACCGAAAAAGGATGAACAACAAACATTCTTATCATACCCCATTGAATTTAGTTAAAAGCTCACAAAACATAGCATCCATTTCAACTATGCCTAGTACCATCGTTTGTCTTAATTTGAAAAACTACCGATTTTTCCAAGAAACCAAAAGTCACCCACTTGAGAGAAACAAGTATGAGCTCTCTACAAAAAGAATTTACAAAAAATGATAAAGCCGAAAGTACAACTAAGCTTATAAAGGTCCGAGTTGTTTACATAATTCATAATTTATTGTTGTTTGATCTTCCTTGATGTCCATCTCATTTCGAATGCAAGTGGATTTTGGCCAATGATCTTCATGAATAATAAGATGAAATCGTAAATTCCATGTATGAAAATGCGGTTGCATACTGTAATACTTATAAATATATTATCAACTATTAAGAGTTAATCTTTCAAACACTACTAATACATTAGAACATAGGAATCTATAGATTTTATATTTACCACATGAGCATATAACATCATTTAAGTAAACAACTTGTTTATTATGACCTTGGTGAATTCATTCACCATGAGATGTTGTTATTATCTCAAAGATTCCCTTATTCTCATTAAATGGAACAAGTTTATGTTCATTAGCCACACTTAACTTTATATTAAGTTTTGCTAGGATATGAGAAGTATAAAGTTTTCCTTCATCAACACTTTTTTCTAAAAATTTTCATCTATCGTTAAAATAACTAACCGATCAATAAAATATCAATTGCACACATGCAGTAGTGGACAAATTATGAGTTTTTTTTTAATATACTATTGAATACCCGAGATAAATTAGTCCTTATCACTCTATATCATCGACCTCCATCGTATACTAATGTCCATTTCTCTCGAAGAATTTCTTCTAATCATTTTTAAGCCTTAAAATTAGACTTTCCAATCTCATCCATAATATCATTAAAATTTTTTAGTTGGCATGTACTCCCACTTCCGTATATAAGATTTTTTAAAATGTTTGTTAAAGAATTCGTCATTAAAATTACTACATAAATGCCTTAAACAAAATCAATGATGAACATAAAGCTCTTTCCATTTCGTATCGCATTCATTCAACTGCAGGTAAGAATACTAGCATAACAATCTAATGTCAAACAAAAAACTCTAGGATTATTGACCTTCTCTAAAAAATAAACTAGAAACCAACTTCAACTATCAAAAGACTCCTCCCGAACGATAGCAAATACAAGTGGACAAAGTTATCTATTTGCATTAACTCTCGTTACAATTAACATCTTTCATATATATCTTCTATGTAAGTGTGTGCCATCAATACTAATTATCGATTGGTAGTGCTTAAACCCTTAATATATGCTAAAAAAAGCCAAAAAAACACGTTAAAACAAAGCTGAATTTGGATCCTATAAAAAGTCATACCGCTACTTTACAATGGTGTCGATATTACATGCTTGAATAGGTTTCATAAATTTTGGCAATACTTGATAAGATCTATCCTAGCCATTAAACACTTTTGTGATTGTCTTTTGTTTTGCATGCCACATCTTTTTATAAGATACAATGTAGTAAAATTTTAACGTTATTTGTTTCCTCAAAGTTGTTATTGTAATAGATTGTTGTACCTTCACTTGATCTTCTAATTCTTGGGCTATGAATTTGTATCTAGTTGACGATGATCTCAACTAAAACTTAGATAAGCATAAGTATTGACATTGATATATTATGTAATCTCAAATAATTCATGACCCTTCTACTTGAATGCCCAAATCTCTATTTACATCCATTTTCTATATGCCTTTTACATCTCAAACTCCATACCTTTTTTTAGTTATAAGAACTTCATATCATCAATGTTGCTAGATAGAGTATAATTTTACAGACTCTTCGTAATTCTTTCTTATTTTGAAAGTTTAAGCCCTTACTTAACTCATTACTAGGATTCCATCTACGATTTTAAGATAATAGAGTCCAATTACTTACCAAAGCAATATCCATCCAATCAACATCTTTGAAAGAAGGTGTATCTAGTTCATGTCATGGTTGATAAACTCTTTCTCTAAGCTACACTCTTCTAAAAATGGTTGTTCTTGTGAATCTACAATACCATCATCATATGTCATATTCATAAGATCAACTTCAACTTTATTTCTCTTCTTCTTCATCCGATTCTTTATATTCTTTCATCTCCTCATCCATATCAACATTTTTCTACATTAAGTTATTATTCACATATATACCATCAAATATAGCAATATCTTCATATTCAATATTTACATCACTTTCATGATCATATTTATGAACTACAACTATAAATGAAGAAATTAAATGATCCATAGGAAAAACATGATTTTTATAAAAACATAAAGGATAATTGAGTAAAGTGTTACTTTTTTTAGTGGTCAACTACCCAATCAAGTACAACTTTTATCTCAACATATAATTCAATGTTGCTAATTGAAGCATGAATAGAAGGAATTTCAAGCATAATGTTCACATTGCTATCATCAACAATACACAAGTGAATATACTTGATCATCAATGTTTGTACAAGCTGTAAGATATCCGTAGACTAACTTCAATTGAACTTGTTTTTTATCAAATTTTGTGACAACATATAATTTATCTAATAACCGATTATATTTGATCATTCGAGGCATCTTAATAGCCTTTTTTGGAGGATTATTATAGTGTGGTCCTACTTTTCCATCTATGATATGTCCATTCTAGTAGAAAAAATAGATATATTTCTATTGGCCATTTTCAACTCGAAAAAATAAAATTTAGCGCTACATCAATTGAGCAAACATATACGATAAAAAAGTTATATGATTTGCAAATATTATATAATTTGCATATGTTTTTGTGAGACCAATTATAACACTTGATTTCTTATAGCAACACAACAAAATAAAAACAAAACTTTTGACAAAAAAAAAAACCAGTGACAAAATAAAATAAATAAAAATAAGAGAATTTAGAAATAAATTAATCTATAAAAATAAAATAAATAAAACAACACATTTTTTTTTTTGAAACACATTATCCTTTGCTAGCCATAGTCAAAATAAAATAAATAAAAGTAAAAGAATTTAGAAAAATACTTTAATTGGCAAAAATACTACAATGAAAAAAACCTTTGAAAAACAAAAGCAGATTAAAACACGATAAAATAAATAAAAATAAATAAATTTAGAAATAAATAAATCGATCAAAATAAAATAAATAAATAAATCCAGATTTTTTGTGAAACACATTATCTTTGCTAGCCATGGCCAAAATAAAATAAATTTATCAAGATAAAATAAATAAAAGTAAAAGAATTTATAAAGTATCGTAATTAGCAAAAGCACTGCAATGACTAGCTTATATAGATCAAAGAAATAAAAACAGTGGCATGAATGATTAAAATGCTAATGTAATTTTTATGTTTTTGTTAAGACTGATTAAAGAAAAAAGAACAAGGCATTGAAGATTTTAGTAGCCATAAAAACTGTTCAAATGGGAATACAAAGAGAAGAAAAATGTTAATTGTTGACGGATAAAAAAAAGTCCTAGTGTCGAGGACAATGAGCCGATAAGAATAAAGTTCATGGTTGTTGGTGATGGTCTTACTAAATAAAGAGGACAGAGATGTGAGAATTGGATTGGTTGCAATTGGGGTCAAACACGATTTAAAAAAAAACTCCATAGGAACCTAAGGATGCCAATGCCATTACACCTCCAAACTTGGAGAAAGTTTGCAATTTAGTTCTAAAATTATGGAAACTTTTTAATTACACCCTAATGCTTATTTGTTAGGGAATGTGTATATTTTGCACCACAAGAATTATGTTTTGTCTCTACATATACTTGTTATATCCTAAGTTTTTTCGAATCAGCACCTTCACTTTTGAAGTTCTAGCTCCACACTTGGATGACTTATACGTGTCTTTGTCTAATAAGTGTACGTAGTATCACGAAAAAATTATTTTGTCTCTCACCCTAATCATATCACGACCTCGTTTAGCAAAATAGTTTATCTTCCTTCTTTACATGCCCATACTTTTAAACTAATATGTAATTTCTTATTTTGCTATCAAAACAATTCCTATGACTTCATTTGGATTTTATCATAAAAATTATTTGACATATAACTTCGTACAATGTTTTTGGAGTCTATGAACATGGATGTGGTAAGAACAGAAGCATCTATTATCTTGCATCGGTAATGTGCCGCTGAGTTTGAGAGGGTGTGATAATAGTTGCTAAATCAACTCCAAAAATCAGAACAAAGTCAATCCTTCAAGATTTTTTTTTAATTAAACACAATAAATGATTTCCTAATTTCTTAAATTTCTTACTATTATTATAAATTCTTGTAAATGAGCTATTACATCATTAGAATTGGTTGGAGTAATTTCCTGCCAATATTTGTTCCGAAACATTTCGATTTGCAGCTTCTGTATAATGATTTCCATCCCATTTAACATATTCAACAGTATTGTTGCAAGCAATTCCAGTCGATGTGCCACCGTTCAGAATCTTGGTTTGTACAACAATAATTAGTCTTTTTTTTTTTTTTAATAGCTGATGAGCAGTCTAGCATGTCATACTGTAGTTTTATGTAGAGAGTAGTTGGGGCTGCGTTAATTTCCTTCTTGAATTTTGAATTCAAACCCTTGATTTATAATAAAAATGAAAGTGAAAAATGATTGAGCTACACGAAGGAAGCATAGGCAACTAGACATAAGGAGTTCTTCTTTTCTAGTTTAAGTTATTTTTACATCTTATTTGTCAGAATAAGGGTGTTTTAAACCTTTTTTTTTTTTTGTAAAAATAAGGTACTTTTGCCATGTCATTGCTTCTTCTTTTTTAATTTAAAAAAAAATAATGTTTGATGCTAGCAATTCAATTCTTTTTATTTATTAAGACCAACACCAACAACCATTGACTTTTTTCTTCTCGGCTCATTGTCTTTAACACTAGAAGGAGCACTTTTTTCTTTTGATCCACCTAAATGTCTTCTTTGACATTGATTACAAACCAAAACATCCATCTGGTGCAATAGAATACATCCATTAATCATTTAAATTAGGTAATAGATTCAGTGAAGAAAGCAATTGATACTTAAAACACAAACCATTGTAAGCTCTTAGTCACCACCTTTCAGACTTTGCTCGTAAGCTCTTTGTCACCACCTTCCAGACTTCGCTGCTGGGACTTTCTCGGTAAAAATTCTTCTTCTTGGTTTGATTTTTTTGAATGGTTTGACGATTCAAAAACAAGTGAAAAATGAAACCAATGACAAAGCCCGAAATGAAATTTTCTGTCCTAAAACTCTATGCTGAACCTCCTTTTTTTCATGCTTCCAATTATATACATTGAGCAAATTTAATTAAGCCAACAAGAAAATGATGAATAATAAACATTCTTATCATACCTCATCGAAACAACCAAAAAAGGATGAACAATAAACATTCTTATGATTCCCCATTGAATTTAGTTAAAAGCTTAAAAAACTTAACATCCATTTAAACCGAGCCTAGTACCATCGTTTGTCTTAATTTTGATAAACTATTGATTTTTCCAAGAAACCAAAAGGCACCCGCTTGAGAGAAACGAGAATTAGCTCTATACAAAAAGAATTTACAGCAAATGATAAAAAGCTAAAAGTACAATTAAGCTTAAAAAGGGAACAAATTCAGAATATAAAGACATGATGAACTTTTCAAGCATTTGAAACTAAACAAGCATAAATTTTGAAAAGAACAAACATACAAAGGAAGAAAACTAGAAAGGGTAAAGCTCTTTCAAGTACTTTGTTTGAAATTTGAGATGGATTTTTAGACACGCCGCCGCGTAGTTCACTTACTCTACTTGTTTGGATATCACCATTGATATTGCTTTCTGAAAGTTTAAGGCCACCGAGTACTATTACACTCTCTAAGACACGTGAGATCAATGAATTTTTTATTAATTGTAGTTTTAAAGTTGGTATCGCCAAAGATGTCCCTGCAGGTTATTTAGATAGTAACAGATAAAACACTATACTATTTTGGTTCCTATTTAGCAAAATACCTTATCTTCCCTCTTTGCATGCCCATACTTTTACTTATTTTGCAATCAGAACAATTACTTTTTTCATGTCGGACTTCATTTGGATTTTATAATAAAATTTGTTTGACATATAACTTCGTACAATATTCGTGGAGTCTGAACATGGATGTGGTTATAACAGAAGCATCTATTATTTTGCATCTGTCGTGTGCCGCTAAATTTGAGAGGGTGTGATAATGTTGTCCAAATCAACTCCAGAAAACCAGAACAAAGTCAATCCTTCAAGTTCTTTTTTTTTATTAAACACAATATCTTAATGTTATTATAAATTCTTGGAAATGAGCTATTACATCATTACAATTGTGTCTATAGAATATAGATTACAGACACAAAGTATTTCTAGATTCTATATAAACTGTCTAATATACAAATACATTTGCGTGTTGGTTTTATTCTATTCTACTTTTATAACAAAAGTTTCAGAGAGAGGCGATTGGTTGGAGTAATTTCCTGCCAATATTTGGTCCGAAACATATCGATTTGCAGCTTCTGTATAATGAACTCCATCCCAATTAACATATTCAGCAGTATTGTTGCAAGGAATTCCAGTCACTCTGCTACCGTTCAGAATCTTGGTTTGACCGCAAGCAATTCGGTTGTCAAAATTTAATGGTGGTCCGCCATATCCACAGCAAGCTGCTAAAGGCTGTTTGAATCCTGGAAGCCATGGTCCGTCAGATTTTGCAAGTGCTTGCAAAGGTGGGGAGACTGAGTGAAATTAACTGCAGCTGATTACTTACCATATTGGGCAAAGTTTGAAATGAGGTTCATTTTAATTGAGAAAACGTCCACAAAAGTGACACTGGCATCAGGAAATTGGCCCTGAAACTTTGTGCAAAGATCATGCAGCTGTGAGTTGAAAACATTAGCTGCACGGTTATGTGAATCAACACATCCAAGTTGGTCAAGCTTTGATGGGTCTTTCCCAAATGTTGCAATGATTCTAGGTAAGCAGCCAAGAGGTCCTGTGTTATGAAACCAGAAATTCCTGGCACCCTCAGTATATAGCCTCTGTAGAGCACCGAAAGTTAAAAGAGGAGAACTGTTAGCGCCATATTAAGCTATTCTCCTAAATACTATTTTGGAATCACAAACACAATTAAGGATTACAACCTTAATTCCAGCCTCAAACTCTGATAAAATGGTTGGAATAGAAGCTATCACTTGGTCCTCCGATTTCGAATTAAATGCGCCATCAATATCATTCTGACCCACATCGAACATGTAAAGTCCTTGCTTGAAATAATCTTCTAGAGGGAGATACTTCTGAAATTTCTCGTCTAGAACAATTGATTTCTTTGTTAGCAAAAACCATTTTCATTTTCAGCACGTACTAAAATCAATGAAAGATATAGAAAGAAAAAAATTACCCTTGGCTAGCAATTTAAGAACTCGGTCCTTGAAACGGAGAAATTGAGCCACCTGAATTCCAAATGAAAATGGACAAACTGAAGCAGCATTTGCTGGAAGTATAGTAGATCCTCCTGCTGCAAAGTTACATCCCTTCTGAAAGTTAGGGGCTCCCACAGAATCCAAATATGGACTCAGAAAAGGCCGGTCCATTGCATCCACTGTAAAATAAACGAAACATTCCGTTTCAAGAAATAATTTGATTATGCAATTGTAGGAAATCAAAGATGTAAGCAAGAAGTTGATGACGAGAAAGATACATTACTTAAAAAATCGATGATCAAGCGGCCATCACAGAATCGCCCAGATGGCTTCTGGAAATAGGTCTGTCCATTAGGAGGTCCAACCGGAAAGGCAACGCCAGCAACTAGACCACCAGTGTCAGAATTTGAATCCCCAAAATTGAAAACTGCAGGATAGCTGAAATTCAAAGAGATAACAATAGGCACAAATGAGAAAAGGAAGGTTAATATTGTTTGGATTGCAGAAAATTTAAGAGCCATGGCATTGGCAAATGATCAGAAAGATGGGGCAGGTATAATAATATGATTTGCAAAGAAAAGAAGGAAGCACCATCTATATATGAATACGAAAATTCAAATTGCTTGACTTAGTTGAAAAGCAAAGACAACAAATTTGTCGGGAGAGAGAGAGAGATCGATATGATGACCTGTATCTTCTCTCATCCTCTATTACCACGTAGTGCACATGCAAGACTCTTTGCTAGAAAGTGGTGTCATAATAAAGGTAAAACAATCATATAGAAAAACCGTGAAGCAAAAGGAAAAAACACATCGTAGGTTGTTAGTTTGTTGTCAAGTTGAAAAACAATATTCTTACTGACTTAGATTCCTATTGAGATCAAAACGCACCTTTTATAAAATAAAAATAAAATAAAATAAAATAATCTTGAGAACAGAATGATATAGTAGACCCAAACATAATGTGTATAAGTCCAGCCCAGTGGGTCATGAGGCTTGAGCCTGAACCTGCCCGCAAAATTTCCTATCGGGTCGGGTGCATTGTTTTGACCCGTATGAATCAACTGAAGTGAAAACTAAACCCCTAAAACTAAAACCCCAAACACTGAAACGACCAATCTTTTGCTCTTGCTCTCATCTCTCCGCCTCTCACTCTGTCTAACAGACATTTCGTTTCTGAATCGAAACCTAAATGGCTTCAGTGGCCCTCAGAAACCCTAATTCGAAGCGCCTCTTGCCATTCTCCTCACAAATCTACTGTTGCTGCCGAGGATCGGCTTCCACTCATCCCTCAGTTTCCGAATCTCTCTTTTCTTCAAATGACAGAAACTCTTCTGCTTGGTGGAGATCAATGGCCACCTTCACCAGAAAGTATGCTCTCTTTATCTCCTCTCTTCTGTTGCTATTGTTGTTTTCTGTTTTGTTTTAAAGATTTTTTAAAAAAAATAAATGATTAAAGAGAGAAAAACAAAGCCCTGATTTTTTTTTCTTGTTCTTTCGTAGTTTATCTGAGTAAAAAGAGAATTTTTTGTTAATCCATCAGAAAATTAAGAAAAAAATAATGAAGGAAAGTGGTGATGGTGAAAGAATGGATAAAAATATTGACTTGAATAGGTTTTTAATTGTATAACCTGTTGTTTTGTGCTGACAGTAAACCTCATGTGAATGTGGGAACAATTGGACATGTTGATCATGGCAAGACTACCTTGACTGCAGCTATTACAAAGGTTTGGCTTTTTCATGCATTTTCTCGGTTATGAAAGCACGGAACATTCAATTTGGGTAGGACTTTAAGCCTTTGTTTGTGTTTAGGTGCTAGCAGAAGAAGGGAAAGCCAAGGCCATTGCTTTTGATGAAATTGACAAGGCCCCTGAAGAGAAAAAGAGAGGAATTACGATTGCAACGGTTGGAATGACTTTCCCTTCCCTTATTTTCTGCGTGCATTTCATGTACCAATTCATTTTATTTTTGGACACTTGACTTAGTACTCCATTTACTCATTTTAGATATGCATAGATGGATAATTATTTTTGTAGTCTTGCTTTTTTAAATAAATATATTTGGTTTTTATTTTTCTTTTTAATATGGTGTTGCAGGCCCACGTGGAGTATGAAACTGCTAAGCGTCACTATGCCCACGTGGACTGCCCTGGACATGCAGATTATGTTAAAGTAAGTCATGAGTTCAGTTTCTCCTTGAATGAACAATGAAGATACATGTCGATGCTCAATTTTCATTGTTGCAATTATTATATATAGAGAACTAAAGATGCAGGAGGTTCTGGAAATATGTAGCAATAGTGATGAACCCATTGCAATAACAATTTTATGTTCTTTTCAGGAACCTTACATCCACGAATGAATGTTTTGACTAATGTTTTACTGTACCTACGTAAACTGCTGGCAGTTATGCATTAGAAATGCCAGTGAAGGGACTGCTAATCATGTTATGAAATGTGGATTCAGGAGTTTTTTCTGATTTGACAAACTCAGATTTATTTGAGAACTGTCTAAGACATTTTTGAACAATTCCTCAGACTTCTCTGGTTAAGTAATTGAATTCTCTTAAACTGTATTATGGATGCATCCAGTTACCTATCGATGATATTTTTTTACAGAATATGATTACTGGGGCTGCTCAAATGGATGGTGGAATTCTGGTTGTATCGGCTGCTGATGGGCCCATGCCACAAACGAAGGAACATATTTTGCTTGCTCGCCAGGTGGGCATCTTCTGTTAGAATCTAAAGTGTTTTCAGTTTTTTCTTTTACCATTGTTTGATAATCCGATCTTGAACTTTCTTTTTCAAATACTTTGGCTAGGTTGGTGTACCTTCACTTGTGTGCTTCCTGAATAAAGTTGATGTTGTATCAGATCCAGAGTTAATAGAGCTTGTGGAAATGGAAGTCCGAGGTATTGTCCTTTGTAGATCATGTTTATGGAAGGTTATTTCTTTCTTCTGTTTTATTTATTTATTTATTTATTTATTATTATTATTAGTATTATTATTGCCACAAGTTCTTCACTTGATATATTTTTTTGACAGAACTTCTTAGTTTCTACAAGTTTCCTGGAGATGAAATCCCTATTGTTCAGGGATCGGCATTGTCTGCTTTGCAGGGTACAAATGAGGAAATAGGCAGGAAAGCCATTTTAAAGTTAATGGATGCTGTGGATGAATACATTCCTGACCCTGTGCGTCAACTCGACAAGCCTTTCTTGATGCCAATAGAAGATGTTTTCTCAATTCAGGTAAAAGAAGGCAGACATTTAGCATCCTGTGTGTAGATTATTTGTTCACAAGATTTAACTTCATGACTGTGGCAAGCTTTTAGTGTTTTCTTCATCGTTTTTGGATTTCATTTCCTTAGTTTGTGGGGAAACTCTTTCCTAATCTGCAATAGGCTGGTGAACAACTAGGTGACCCATCATTGATAGTGCTGTAAATTTCCTTCTTTTCTTTGCACTGAATGCTTAACACAGTTGTATGTTTAAGATGTTTGTCTTGAGATGTCCTTTTCTTCTTCATGTCATTTGATAGTTGCAGTAAACTGGGCAGAATGCCTGTATCGTTCTTCACTTGGTATTGCTGTAAAATATCTTTTGCTTGTACATGAAAAAAGGCTTGCTCTCTGGAATGCGATGACTTTAATTTTTTTTTTTTTTTTTGAAGGGACGTGGAACTGTTGCAACTGGCCGTGTTGAACAAGGAACCATCAAAGTTGGCGAAGAAGTAGAAATTTTGGGATTATCAAAAGTAAAATTTAACTTGACCCTTTTTTTTTATTGATTGTGAAGCATTTCATTACTTCTTGTCATAAATTTGTTGAGCTGTGATGCACTGTACGACTCTTTTGAATGGTAACCTAAAATTTTGGAGACTGTTATGCTTTTGGTATAGTCTGGATATGAAATTTAAGGAGTGCTCTGCATATTATTGTGCTCCTAATACTAAGGCTCTTTCTGCAGGACGGTCCTAAGAAAACTACAGTGACTGGTGTTGAGATGTTCAAGAAATTGTTGGATCAAGGACAGGTAAGTCAACAGGTTAAGCACTATTTACTATTTAGGCCATAAGTCTTCTTTATGGAAGTTATTGAACGATTGATGGCTATTTTTATTTACTAGGCTGGAGACAATGTGGGTCTTCTCCTTCGTGGTTTGAAACGAGAAGATATACAACGTGGACAGGTAAGCGGCAGGCAGGATTAAAGAGACAGAATGGAAACACTTTTTTTATGGATATAGATTCATTTTATCAAATTTATATCGTGCTCTCTTACAAATTTGATATGTATCGATGTTTGAATCTATTTAGGTTTGCTTTACCATCTTGTTCCCACTCGCTATATAGGTTATTGCCAAGCCTGGAACTATGAAAACATCCAAGAGGTTTGAGGCAGAGATATACTCCCTCACAAAGGATGAAGGAGGGCGTCATACTGCTTTTTTCTCCAACTACAGACCTCAGTTTTACTTGCGAACTGCAGATGTCACTGGGAAAGTAGAGTTGCCAGAAAATGTTAAGATGGTTATGCCTGGGGACAACGTTACTGCAATCTTTGAGCTGATCTTACCAGTTCCTCTTGAAAAAGGTGTGTTTAACAAGAACCCCCCATTCTGAGTTTCTGGTGCAAGTTGCCTATTGATCTTTCTTGGATGCAACCTGTTTGCTCCTGCCATGCAACTCTAAAAGGCATTTTTCGTTTTGATTGTTATTATCTTGTTTTGTGTGAAAGCTTTGGGCACATCACATGTGAAATTGGCATATTACATTTGGACCTACTGTTGCATGACTGAATATAGAAACTTGGTGTTTGGTCTTAAATCTGAAAAAAGGTGATATATGGTTTGCCCATGGACTGCATTTATTTCTGATTTTCAAATGATAACTTGTGTACTTGTTGTGAGTACTCTTGTGCCAAATTCTGCACAAGGTAACTGTGTTGTTATTGTCGTTGTTAACAATGACTAGGGCCTGTAGCTTTGTTATTGTGCGTTAATATATTGCATGTTCTCGATATGGCAGGACAAAGGTTTGCCTTGAGAGAGGGAGGTAGAACAGTTGGAGCAGGGGTAGTCTCAAAGGTCCTTGATTGAGTGGTTGTGATGGTGGACACTAAAAGGGGTGGTAAGAACGCCAGATTGTTATTTGATAAAAAAATGCCATGTGGTTAGTTCTTGGACTGCTTCAATGCAATGTTTTTCATGGTGGACACTAAAAAGATATTGATAGTGGTCTGAAATGGAGAAAATTTAAGAGGATTGTTGTCCTCAATTCCTCATCCATTGCATACGACTGATCAACATGATTTGATCGTTTTTCCTTTTCATTTTGTTCTTTTTTTCAATAACATCCCTGTCAAAATGGTAATCTTTCTTGGACTAACGCCATGGTTAAATAATTTTTGATTGAAAATTGTTCTTTTTCTCGATTTTTTTTAGTGTGAATTGTTGGAATAAGAGTAGAAGCGATTTAGTAATTGTGTGAATGTATAAGTTACGATCAGTGTAAAATTACCGATTCCGTTCTAATTTCTATTCTTTGACAGTGTAAAAGTCCATTTCAGGATTTGTTCCCATAACTAGAATCTGGCTAAGAACGGTCTCACAGCATCATGGCGTGGTTCCTGCTCTGACCCGAATCATCTGAAGGTTATTTTCTTCTAGGCTTTGCCCACTCAATATTTTTCAAGCGTTTAGAATTAGATTTGCATGAGTTCCTGTGTCAAAATTCGGATAATCATGATGAAGCTTCAGAAATCGTATTTTTGTAACGGCCTTACGGAGATAGATTCTAAAGCCAGCAGCTGAATAAAGCAAATTAACAAGGCAAATTTGTGGCAATTATTCATTTTTATTTTTGTTTTTTTTAATCCGATTAATTTTTTTTTCTTTGAATTCGTTCGCTTAGCCCTCATCTTTTTAAGATATGTTCAAATTGATCCAATAGCTAATTTTCATCAAGTCTCGATATTAACCATACATGTTAATTATGTGACAGTGAACAATTATCGTGTGGGACTTATATCACTAGATTAATTGATCTATGTAACTGTGTAAATTGTTTTTCTCATGCTAGAATCGAAAATTGATATAATTTATTGATACAAAAGTACATTTAGGAGTTTTGCCAATTAAAAATTGCTTTAGGCTTATGCGGTTTTCAGACTTTTCAAGTCCTAGCATAACAGTGGGAAACACCATCCATGCGACTACGTTTCTAACCAGAGAGGCCTACAGATGGTTTTCACGCTGTAAAGTTGAAATGGAAGATCCATAAAGCAGCTCAAATTAGTGTTGGTCACTGTTTTATCCAGCAACCGCAGTGACTGGCATTGCAAAGGATCCTCTTTACAATGTTAAATAGGACCTCTTCAGTTCCATTAACAAAATTGTACCAACGGCTTTTATGTTAACAGTTCACGTCTCATTCATTTACAGAACCAATCATAGAATCTACTAGAGGAACGACCTCACTGATTACGAGACATGACTCCATGACCCATCCCTGCATATTTACCACTCAAGCTCTTTGTCTGCCCATTCAAACATCTGTGCAATGGCCACAAACTTGGGCCCATATAACCATCACTTGCTACGCAATTACAATTTTATACAAGTCATATTATCGAAACCGCCAGTATTTTCCATGACACCTTGTTTCACAACTTCACTTCATGCTCATACAAGCCTCAGTACCGCTACTGCCATCACTGTTGCAGCTCTTAAGTATATCTCACGAAAACTTTTATCCACACTACTGATTATTTCCTCATCCTTCAGACCCACCTTGCTTGCATGCTTGCTAATGTAAACAACTGTGTCCTTCAATTGATTCACTGCCCAAGAGAGCCAGACCAGCCCAAAACCGATGCCGGTGCTGAACAGTTTTGATGCACAGAAGGTTACCCTCCCACAAGCTACCCTGCAGATGACGGAAAAAAGAAGAGCGAGGCCAGTCCCAGCAATGCCAACAGAGAACTGGTTCAGAAGCTCAGGAAGTTCAGGGCCGGATTTCTTCAGTGATAGGACTGCTGTTTTCCCATGTTGCTTGTTCATCATCAAGGATAGAAGGCTCTCGCATGCATGGAAGTAGTTCCTTTTGTAGAGATCCCTCTCTCTGCCTCCCTTTCTAGCATTCTTCTTCTTTCGGGATGGCTTGATTTTCATAGGACTGCCAAAAGAAATAATACTACATTAAATGAGAACAAAAATAAGAAAATGTAGTGATGCAGGACAACTTTGGGGGGTGTTCTGGATCTGACTTTGGAGGCTGTTTAAGGCTTTGTTGATGTAGATTTCTGCTGAAATTGTGTAAACATTAGAGTCACACTAATAGGGTTTCTAAAAGTCACACTTAGATTCCTAAGTAAGAGTCTGAAAAAAACCTAATAAAGCTAATTTCTTTAGAACTTATAAAATACTAAATAGAAAATAACACCTATACACGTAACAAATTAATGGAAACACTAGACCAAATACAAGGTAATTGTGTAACAAATACATGGACTAATTTAACGTATACATGAACAAAAAATATCAAACAGTGCACCTCTTCTCTTGATCAGAACGTGTAACTCCCTTAGTGTGGAATTGTGTGAAATTATTAAATGACATACATGCACACAATTGTTTGTCAACCATTGAGACTCTGATATTATAGCAGTGTTGGATTTTCAACTTAAACAAACAGTCTTATGTATTGCAGAACACACAGAAGAATTCGAAGAGTGATGCTTATTTTATCAAAAGAATTTTTTTCAAAAAATCTCATGCATTGACAAGTGGATATGCATCTAATGAGATCTAAATGATTGAAATTTCACTGAGAAGTGGAATATTTGATAAAAACAGCATCATTCTTCAAAAAATTGCAGCAAAAAAAGAGAATCATAATTACTTCACTAGACAAATTTCCAGATTTTCTAGAAATTACAGAAATGCTTGTCTACAAAAAGATACAAGTTTTGCTTCCTTTGTTGTCCACATCATGTAGGCATCTAGAACACCACAATGACATAAGACAATGTCTGTACTGCATGTGCACATCAGCCAAAGTAAATAATAGTACAGATGTAGGAAGTCCATGTATAGAAAATAACACACTAAATCAAGGACTTGTGCAACTCTGTAACGCCACTTCTTATCATGCTACCTGATATGGCATTTAAAAGTTCTTGAACATACTAGAGAAGTTCAAATTATTTCTGCATTCCAGTAATCATAGATTTGTTAACAAACATGTATGCATATTTTTCCAGGCATACCTCCCTGCAGTTTTGCTACAATCCAAAACTGAAATAAAGAGTAAGAGATTACTATCTCATGCATTAAGTAATCTAAGCCAGGGGTATTCCTCCAGTATTCAGAAGCAAAAAGATCTTCGATACCCAAGGCAACCAATAAAAAATGGATCTACTCTCCAAATGTATGCATGCATCTACCACAATATACCTCTCCATACAAACCGTAGTCTGAAAATGAGCACAAACTCTTCATATCATGCAATTGTGGATCCCCTTAAATAACCTTAGATTCAGAATTAGCAACCCTCACATGAATTAAAGTTGACCAAAACCAAGTTTGATAGCGATACCACATCGTCCTTGGTAGTTCATAGCCTAAAGCTTCCACCCCACCCCTCTTTTCTCTTGGTTTATTTTCTTTGAGCATAGCATTAATTCATAGCCAAAGAGAACATCACGAAAGCTTGGTGTTTACCCATATCTGTATATGGCAGGATCACTTCAAGACATGAAAATTAGACTGGGGCGGGAAAGTCCTGTACTCAAAGCTAAAGTGCCTATAACAATTCTTTTCTTTGTTATTAGAGGTCAGGACTGCAAGCATTCTATGTGGAAATGAGAAGCCAATTAATGCCATATCATGTACTTACGCCAACAGCTCCACAAGACAACATTCAAAAACAGGCATCAAACAAATGCATGGAAGTTTACTTCTGAGGATTTTAACTTCGACCTTTTCCAATTCTTATTCTATCTTTTGCAGCCTCGGCAAACCTCTAATATACTAATGCTTAATTTTCTCTGCTTAAACAACAAACCCTTTTGGTTATTCGAGTCCATCAACTATCCATAAAACCATCACCAAATTTATCAAGACACTGCAAATAAATCTGAGCCAACTAATCATTAATTTACTCTATGCAAACACTTTACTATTTCGACTAAAATGATAAATGCTCATCTTGAAACATTATTGAATTCCAATCCATCAAAGCATAAAAGAGTATTGCAAACATAGAACATTCCAAAGAATCTGGCATCCCTTCACCCATGTGAAACCAACCCAAAAGCACTCCTAATCTATGACTAAATATTTCAAACCCTCAAATACTAGACTAATTTTTTGAATGGAAGCAATGTAATTCAAGATAACAAAAGACAGGACAAAGTCTAGCATTTTGGGCATCTTCATGCTGACTTGTCATTAGAGATTGGCAAAAAGAAATGGACAAATGAAGTGCTTTTGCAATGAATAGATTCATACCTCTTCAAAGTAGCCACTGTCATATCTCTGACCTTGAAAGAAGACTCAGTACTATTACCATCTACTTCACTTGTATCAAACCTGGTCAATCAAATGATTGCAGAGAGAGGACTTATAACTAAAACTCGACAATAGCGAGAAGGGAATATGAAACAGCTAAAAAATGGCATGAAAATATTAGCAACAGTGAATCTAATAGCAAAAATTGAGATTAGCAGACCATGCAGAGCACTATCACCGAATACTCGTGTAACCAATCATAATCGTAGGAAGACTCAGGATCATCTTTTCTGACACAATTTAGTAGCTTTAGATATGTGGAATCAGTTTTTGTAATTGGATGTGGGTCGTGGGTGGTCCAGGTAGAGTGGATGATTTTTCACTCTTAACGGTATACAATATGGTTTTAAAAGGGTAGATTGGGATATAAAGTCCTCATGGAGAAATGCACAAGTCATACTGATTAGTTTCTCAGGCTGCACAATGAAGGCTTTTATAGGGGCTTTATCAGCTACCATTGAGTGGAACTGGAACATGCTAGTCTTTTTTCTTTTTGGGTCTCCTTTTCTAGGGGATGTTCAGTGCAAAATGGTTTAGCGAATGGCTAATGTCGGAAAGTAAACGAACCCAATAGCAGGAATCTTAGACACTAGATACATGCTTTAGAAAAAAAGAATATGGAGTGCAAGGCATCCATTGCAGGAAAAACGAAGTTTTTTCTTTCTTAATAAGCACGTCAAAAGATGCGCCTTTTATTTGGGGAACTTAGACTCTAGAAGCAATCAGCAAGTTCACTAATCAAGTCAATCAGTCAAGATCATAAATTAGGCCGTGGATTTGTTATTCCAGTTACAATATTAAAATGAAAAGGAGAACAAGGAATTAACTCAAATTGAACCTTGAGAATTTTTCAATAGCATAACAAGGAAAGCCGCCATGTGCTTCTGAGATAAATAGAACCAGGTCTAAATAGCCATACCTGCTAAATTCCGGGACGAGCATTGGCTGCTTTCTCCACATAGTTGAGTTTTTTGACAAGTAAAACTCAGCAACAGTAGCGAGGATATCCTTCATCTCAGTCCCATTACCAGTTAGCAATACTCGACCATCAGGAAGAACTGTAAGTTTTGAACTACGGGCCATATCTCCCACAAAGTCAACTAGAGATTTTGGGGCATCAAGTTGGCCGCTTGGGTAAATAAGAGGAGAATGTGACTGCTGTTGCACATCAAACATCACTGCTTGAAGCCCCATCAACTCAGACAGTAAAGATAAATCCAATCCGTCTGTTTCTAATTTATTGGACTCAGACATAAGAAACTGCAAGATCTTTTCTTGTCTTGTGCATTTTTCAACTATCCCAAAGCTGAAAAGGACTGAGTCTGGGCGAGCATCTGGCAGCAAAACAAAGATGCTGCTTAGAATACTTGAGCATTGTGCAAACATATAATATAGAGTTAAGTTTCATGCAGTACATAAAAAAGGATGATGTACAAATCAAAAGCCATATCATCCCGTTAATTGTCACAGAAAACACACACTAACTTCGACCTTTTACATAGCCTTCTAATTGTGATCATCATTAATTTCAAATTCCATTGACCAATTAAAAACAAATTCTCATTCTATTGACCACACTTTCCAAAATCACTAAAGTTATCCCATAAATCTGCGAGGGCTACTATTAAATTCTTTGCCAGGGTGTTACTTCACAAGAAGGCTAGACACTCAAAAATTACATTGCCTTTCACTGATTTCGCTGCTTGAGTTCGTAGATGCACATTCCAATAATAAATAAAAATAAAGGAATAAGTTAATTAAACAATGGAAATTCTGATGGTACTTTTATTAAAGCTACTTAACTAAACTAAGCCTCAATACCAAACTAGTAGCATCGGCTGCATGGGTCCACCTTCTCAGCTAGTTCTGATATGGATGTTTTAGAGAGAAAAAAGAGGGATGAAAAGTAACCTAAATACCAAGCTCTTCAAAGAGAGGAAGACAAGAAAGAAACACAAGGTCTCTAAAACAATGTTTAAGATTATCCATCCAAAAAAAGAGTCCACAGGATTGCAAACCTTGCACATCAATGAGTGTAGGTGTTTTAACTGTTGAGTCGATCTCAGCAAAATGGAACTCACAGAACCTATTCATGGGTCTCCACGGTTCCTCATGCTGGTGTAATTTCAGCATAAGAGAATTCGATCTTGTCATCTCTTGTCTTGCTCCCTGACTGGGTAAATAAGGCTGACAATCCTGCATCAACGAAAGGTTAACTATCATCAATTGTTGAACAGAAACAACTTATCATGAGATGGAACAACAACAGAGAATAACAACATTAGTGTATCAATTATCGTTAACCAAGAACCCAATTAGAATGTTTTCCTAAGATGATAAAATCATCTGAATATAACAACTCTAGTTTTCATTGAATCTAGGAAAGATCGAAGGGGTTTGTGGAGGACACTAAGATATCTCCCCTATCATACAAGTATAACCTTACCAAGTTACCAGAAACATACATGATAACAAGTCAATAATCAAAACCTTGAGTACACTAATAAATAGATATCACCACATCAATTATAATTTGCACTAAAATTTACAATAAAACGAAGAGATCATTTTTAAGTCACCGGCAAACTTAATAATCATGGGAATGAAAGAAGAGAGGCACTTTGGTACAAGCTAATTTGAGGATTCACTTTTATCCAATAGGTGCCGGATTCTTAATCGAGCTCGTTGGCGGAGCCAAGAGGTCCAGATGTTGCATCTCTCCCTCCATATGGGTTTGCCTCGCCTAACAAAAAATCCACTCTGGGTGTGTGTCTGTTAGTTAATATATCATGCATATTTCAAAAGCTGTACCGCATTCTTTCTAAGAAAAAATATTGTGTGAAGTGGCTGCAGGCTGCTCAACGCTGCAATTGCAACACAAAAACTCACTTTCTCATTAAAAAAAAAGAAGAAAACTTAAAGCGTATATACTTTGCAGATGGCCAGATAGTAAAGGCTTTATATCTCTGGAACCAACAGCGCGGCTTCTAAGCACCGCTCTCAATGGATACACTAGAACCTCAAAGCAAGCATGAAACTAGAGCAAAAGAGACCAATTTCAAGAACCATTCTAGATGCAACATCAGGATCAAGAAACATCAGAACAAAAGGACAGCAGTAATCAGATAAAATGAAGCAACAGTGAGCATAAAAACAATCCTACCTTGATAACCCTTTTCTGACCTTGGTGAAAAACAACAGCAGAAGCAGAAGGATACCCATGAGAAGCCATCATACAAAGCTTAACCATCATCGGCAGAAATCTCTCCTCCTCGTTTGAGAGTTCACAGTACCATAGACTTATCCATCTATCCCCATAGACCTCAAAATCAAAAACCAAAAAGATTCTCACTTTATTTTTTGTTTTCTTGAGGAGCACCCTGCCCACAGATAAATGAAGATAGATTTTTGTGGAAGGGAATTAGATGGAGAATTTTCTGGGTCAAGAATCTGTGGCAGTGAGGGACACAGGATGTCTTGCCTTTGCCTTGAGAATCCAGACAGGCAAGTCCTTGTTACTTGTTAGGCTCCCAACTAGACAAATTAACATCAACTCATCGTTTTTGTTTTGTTGTGTCTTGGATTTGGGTTCTCTAGAACTTTCTTTCTTTCTTTCTTATTTAGAAAAACCCATTTCTCCATTACGTTCATCTAAAACATTCTTTAAATTAAATCAATCTGCATGGTTATTTTCTCATATACCATTAAGGTAATTAATATTTTGTTCGTTGTAACGAAAAAAATTATAGCGTTTTATAAATAACTATCAATAATTATATATGAGTTCATTGTTGATTTTTTTAATTAATAATATCAATGTAAGATAAATTAATATTTGATTGAAAAATAAAATTAATAGCTTAATTTATTAATAAACCCTGCTAATAAAACTTCAATGTAAATAGATTTTTTTTTTATAATACAAATCGATATATATATTCTTAACTTCGGGTGCGGTATTTTTATCTTTTTTTCTTCTATTTTTTCCTTATTATTAATTTATTTCTACTTAGTCTTACTAATATAGATTTTAAATTCATGTTTAGAATTTTTTTCATGCATAAATTAAATTTCTTAGCTTTACTCACCAAAACTTAAAATGAAAAAAAAAATTGCATAACTTATTGCTATTCCTATATATCTACTACTGTTCACTTTTTTTTTTTTTTCAAGTTGTTGTAATTACACGCATTTTCTTTTTTTTCTTTTTTTCTTTTTGGCCTTTTGTTTTTTCCATCAATTAAGGTTTTGTTTTTTTTGTCCTGGTATTGTTCATTTTTTTCTTCTTTTTTTTAAGTTATTTTGAATACATGCCTTTTCTTTTTATTCCCCCTTTGTTTTTTTCATCAATTTAAGTTTTTTTTATTTATTTTTTTAATTTTTAGATTATTTCATTTTGGTCTCTAAAATTTTAAAATAAAAATTTTAATCCCTTGACTAATGAACTAACCATGCCTTTTTTGTTTTCTTTTGCTTTATCCCTTTGTTTTTTTCTATCAATTTATATTCTTTTTTTATTTAGTTAGGTGTTAAATTTTTAAAATACCAATCATTATTTTTTTCACATAAATCGACGATTATATAATATATGCGATATTTTTACATTTATACGATATTTTTTTAGATTTTATTACGATATTATTTTTTTCAAGTTGTTTCACTATGCATGCTTTTTTTTCCCCTTGCTTTTTTCTACCAATTTAGGTTCTTTTTTATTTAATTTTCGAGGTTGTTTCATTTTGGTCTCTAAAAATTTAAAATAAAAATTTTAATCCTCTAACGGATGCACTACTCATGCCTTTTTTTCTTTGCTCTTTTCCTTTGTTTTTTTCCATCAATTTATGTTCTTTTTTTTATTTAATTGTGAATTAAAATTTTAAAAAATCAATTGTTATTTTTTTCACACAAACTGACGATTATATAATATGTACGGTGTTTTTTATATTTATATGATATGTTTTTAGATTTTCGAATAAATATAAACTCGCTCTTATTGTTTAAAATTGGCTTTTTCATATAAATTCTTATCAAGTTAATCTTTATTCTTGTTTTTTATAATTTCATTTATTTATAGACATGACTTATTTTTTCTATGTACAGATTTGAATAATTTTTTTATACATGTTTTTATTTGTTTAATTGTTATATAATCAAATTGTAAAAATTGAATAGATTCATTTTATTTTATTATTTTTTACATAATAAAATTTTATCAAAATCAGTTTTATAGTTTTTATTGCACTCTATTAACTTAAATATAGATATTTTATCATTTAAATTTTAAAAATATTTTTTAATTTATTTTATACATTCTCATCTATTGAGTACGGTCATGATATAGCAAAAATAATAACATTAAAGTCATTGATTTTATTACAAATCAATCATGCATCTACACACATAATATCAACTATATGCTATTATTTTTTAAATATTTAAAATAATTTTTTTAAATAAAATAATTGAAATAATATTTTAGAATAACCGCCTAATAATTCAAATACAATTTTGTACACTAATGTTATACGTTATTTTGTATATATATATATTTAAAAAAATAATATTCTCATCGGTAAAAAAGTTTCATTTGTTAATTTTCATACAAGTTTTTATATTAATTGTTACTTTATTTCTTCGATGCAATGTAATGAAAAAATATTAAGATATTTTTTTAAAATTTTATATTAAAATTTGTTTATTATGGGTTTTATTTAAGAATAAGTGCATAAGAAAGAACAAATCATGTTTTTTTTACTTCAAAATTTATTCAAAACAATATATATATTACAAAATTTTGATTAAAAATTATAAAATTAGATGAAATTTTATCTTTTATATTTAATTTAACATATTTCAATTAACCGATAACATAGTATATGTTATCCAACCGAAATAAATATATTTAGTTCGACCAACAGCGTAACACGGGAATCCGGACTATTCATAATATTCACTTACTTGTTCATATGTGTAAAATTACTATTCACTTAGTGGCAATTTAAGTCATTTTTTGTGTGTTTTTGGCTATTAATATGCAAATTTAACACCTTTTTCTATTTTTCGTCCATCATGTTGTAACATTTTTTTTCGATCCTTAGTTTTAATTTTTCTTTCATTTTTCACACACATAAAATATATATATATATATATTATCTTTTTATATTTTAAAATTAACATATACTTCATCTTATATTACTCTTATCATTTAAATTTCATTCTTTAAATTTATCATTTTTTATGGAATGTCTCAACCAATTAATATTTTTTATATAAGATTTTATTTACTCGATAAATATTATTTATTTTTCTCTATATTTGAATTTTAGAATAAAATTTTGAAACATGATTTTTTAAAAAAACAATTAATTTATATAATTTATATCATGAATTCTTAGAATTTTTAAATGATAGTTGTATATATATAAATATATAATTATTTTATCCTAAAAGGTTAAAAGTGTATTTCGGATAATTTATCTTATTTATTAGGTATGCTCAAGACATGTAAAAAACTATTGAATCGTTGATTTTATTAAAAATTGACTATGCATCTTCCAACATAATATAAATTATTTACTATGAATTTTTTTTAACATTATAGAACCAATTTATTTGAAATAAAATAATTTTTTAAAGGAACCAACCAATTATTTACATATAGTTTTTTATGCTATTTTTTATTATTATTTTGTAAATAAATATATATAGATCGAATGCATATGCTTGAACAAAAAAATCTTATCATCAACATTAAATAAGATTAAATTTTTATTTTTTTCATTAATTAATTTTTATGTAAGTCTACACATTAATTGTAACTTTATTTTTTGGATACATTCTTATAAAAAAAATTTAAGTATTTGCTTTTGAATTCTTAATTAACATCGAGTTTAAATCATTACAAGTTTTTATTTAAGAATTCTTGAATAAAGAAGAATAAATCATTTTTTAAGCATAAATTTTATGAAAAAAATGATAATAATTAAATAAAAAAGAATAAAAAAATTATAAAAATTTTAAATGATTTTCTTCTATCTCGCTCGTAATGTTGTGCATATGATTTCAAGAATTAATCCTCTCATTAGCATTAAATAAGAAAAAAAATTTTCATTTGTTAATTTTTATAAAAGTTTGTCCATTAACTATAAATTTATTTTCTAGAATGCTGTACTATGAAAATTATATTTTAAAAGTATTTTTTAGTACTTAATTAATATTTTAGTTAAAAAAATTTACTTTAAAATCAATCCATAAAGAAGAATGATTTATGATTTTTTTAACCATAAAATTTATAAAAAAAATATTAAAAAATTAATCAAATTAAAATTTTTAAAATGATTTTTTTATAGGACCCCGGGGTAGCGCGGACAAGCGACTAGTATCTTTTATATAATATTTAAATAGTGAAACTTTTCTCAACTCTATATTGATTGCTTATTGAATTTTTTATATTTAATTAAATGTTATATCAATACAAAAACAAAGTTAAGGAGACACTATTTACATTTTTTTAAACGTCTATATACTATTTAAACTATTATGCTTAATTAAAATGCTTTAAGTTCTCCTTTGTTTTTTTTTTTTAGACTTTTCTTCTTTCCTTTTTGTCTTATAAAATGATAAGCGATGGGAATGTAGTGTGGGACAAAGAGAGGGGTTTGCTTGGAGAAAACCCCAAGAGATGAGTATCGAAGAAGATTTAAAAGGTACTCTCTGTTTGGTGGCTAAGGTTATACACACGCCTACACATAAAACGCCCTTCTATTATTGATATTTTCTTAATGTGGCTCCTTTACTTTTTTCTTATTCATCATCTTCCTACACTTTTCAATTTTTATTAATATGACACCTCTTACCGAAATTCAATGATTCTTTCGATTGTCGATGACGGATGGCTAAAAATTACCACATGACATGACACATTAGATCCAAAATTGCCACGTGACGTGCCTTTATTAAGACCATATATATATGATTTTGTTTGGCGGATTGGTTGGAACCATAAAAGTATGGCTTTTTTTTTACGTGTGAACATTTGAGAAAGGATATTTAAGACTCCTTGTTTCCTTGCAAAATTAGGTAAAAATGTAGTTTTGGCTTTAAGTTATTCGTCGCTAATAAATATAGGAACATTTATTAATTGCACTCGCTTTAACATTATCGAGAACAAGGGAGATGAGGAAGACCGAATACTTGGTTCAATCTTTCTCCAGATTATCCGTTTTGTTTACTTATTTTAGGGTCTCCTTTATCTATATCAACTATTGGATCTCGTAGACTTATTTTGTTTGGTGATTTTCCTCACTCCTTGTTCTTAGATATTTTGGCTATCGATAAGTGATTTTTATTTCCAATTTTCATGTATTAGATGCTATTAATACAATTTGAATTTCTTGATAGAATTTGATATAGAGATTGTCATGGCCGAGTTCTTTTTTCGCTTTATTTTTTCCCATCGTTACGATTCTTCGTAAGTTTTTGTCTTAAAATGATGTATGCTCATGGTTATTGGTGCTTCTTAATGTAGCATTGGTGCTTGTGTATGAGTTT